GAATAATTTGTGAGCAACTATACACGTTCAGTTCTCTTTCCTTTTGAATCATCTCTTTGGAATAAGTTCTGACGTGCAGAATTTGCCCGAGAGGTTAGAGAGTACTTTTATAGCCCTCATTACTTTATTGAGAGAGCATTTATGGGTTCACTCCTGCTTGTATTACAGTAACCACCGTCCTGATGGACCCCCACCCCATCTGGCTGGTGGGAAGGGCAGCAGAAGCTCCATTTGTGATTAACGCTGTCATCCGATACCCGGTGGAAGTCATTTCATATCCTTTCTGTTAAAGAGCCACTGTAGCTCAGTTTTGAAGAAGGAGGGAAGGTTCCTCGGTCACAGATGCAGGAGGCCTTCGACTGGGAATGGCTACAGTGTTGTGGCCCCACTCAAATGACCTCATCTGCTGTTCATACGGGAAAAAAAAAAAAAAAACCCTCATTTCTTTCTGGGCAATTCTTCCAGGTCAAAATCATCCATATTTATGCCTTAAAATCTTTTATCATCCCTTTTATCTTAAGAGTATTTGAAACATTTTTGCCATTTCCCGTCTAAACTAAACCTTTAACTTGCACTTAGAAAATACCATCTGTGACTCCTTAACTGTCTATACATATCTCCCAGGATTCTGGGAAATGATGAAGTTTGCCTGGATCCAGTATGTCAGTATCCTGCTTATCTTCCTCTGGGTATTTGAAAGAATCAAAAGATTTGTGTTTCAAAATCAGGTGGTGACCACAATCCCTGTCACAGTCATGCCCCAGGGAGAAGTGTATAAGGAGCACTTATCATAAGAAGACCATTTCTGAGAACTAAGCAGGATCCTGGCTACCTCATTGTTGTCTTCTGAGAACTGCCATCTTAAGAAGTTTTTGCCAATAGCCTGTGGACATAGGCCGGTGTGTGTGCTTTTCCTATCAGAGACAAAGGACAATCCTTTCTCATTTTTCTCTACACAAATCCATATCTTCTAAGCACCTACAGACTCATCAGGGACTAGTTTGTGGAAACATCCAAGGGTTCCCAAAGGCTATAATTTGCTTTTTTTTTTTGCCTTAGGCTTGGATTTCAGGAGAAAACTACAATCAGTTCAGACCTCTTGGAAAGAGTCCCATCTCTGGTCAAGCAAAGACTTTTCCTCTCTTGAACTGAGAAACATGCTCTGCATTTCTTCCCACTATTGTAAACCACTTTTTACTCTTTTCAGGGCTCTCTTGTGAGAGATACGCAAATCAGTAGCACTTTCCACTCCTGAGCATCTACATTTCCCATCCAGAACTTTGGTTTCCAGCACTGAGAGGCCTTGAAGAGGAGAATGGGAGCGAGAGAAGGGGAGCGCTCAAGAGCACATGCACACACACCTGTGCGGGTGGGCCACTCCAGGACATGAGCACCATCCACCTGCCCCTGGTCTAACAGACAGTCGTCTGTCATCAGCTCAGCTGAGCGGCCCTTATTCCCTGCCCTGCTATGGCTGGCTTGTTGCCCTGCCTTTCGCCCTGTCTGTGCCCCCTGGAACAGCAGGCTTCAGCCAGAGTGCTGGTTCGTTCCCAATCCCCTCAGCAACAGAGGGGGAAGTAAGGATTGTAACCACAGTCTCTTTCTCTCTGGCCCTCCTCCAACAGCCGGGACACTTGCCACTCCTCGTCCTTGACAGCCCTTCCCCTTCTCAAAAAGGACGTGGGTGACAGAGGAGCTCTTGTTGGTATTGGCTGCCACTGCCAACAACGACAGAGTTTATTTGGAGGGCCAGCGGGAAACCCAGCTACTTGTATTTCCCTTGACGAAGGAACAGGGTGCCGATCAGACTGAGCGGCTTTGGGGAGGACACACCGGGTGCAGTGAGGGGATAAAGGGGCTGCTCGCCCCGGCCACCTAATGTGGCCTGGCCGTTAGCAGAATGACACGCAGTCCAGAAGGTTCATCCTCTTGCTTAAGTGAGCGTCTGCAGGATCGGATGGCTGAAGTGGGCCTCCGTTGCACATGGAAGACTAGTTCTCCATTCTTGGCCTGAGATGAGCTGCCCTCAAAGGACAAATGGATCTACTTTATGATCCCAAGATATCATTGGCACTGGAGACATGCCTGCTCTGATCCATGCGTCATGCCCACCCACAAACACAACCCTCACTATATGCCTCAGTTTACCTTGGAGATGCAGTTCTCATTTCCAAAGCACCTTTTCTTTCAGGCTGACCAAAATAACAGCTCTTTTGAAGTAGTCAAGCACAAAAATAGTTTACCGCTGGCCCCTCTGCCTTTTCTTTTAATATCTAGGGCTGTTTATATACCTAAACATTTTTTCTTGAGGGTGCCTGGGTGGCTCAGTTGGTTAAGCGACTGCCTTCGGCTCAGGTCATGATCCTGGAGTCCCGGGATCGAGTCCCACATCGGGCTCCCTGCTCGGCGGGGAGTCTGCTTCTCCCTCTGACCCTCTTCCCTCTCGTGCTCTCTATCTCTCATTCTCTCTTTCAAATAAATAAATAAATAAAATCTTAAAAAAAATCCTTTAAACATTTTTTCTTGAGATATAAATGAAAAAAAAAACAAAATGGTCTCTGGTTTGAATCACGAGAAGGTAATGAGCTATGGAAAGATAGCTAAAGATGTGACTAAACACTGCTTTGCATTTTGTTAACTTATTTTAATGCAAAATTTGTATAAAGAACCGTGATGTTTTGTACCTTTCTAATTAAAATATTCAAAACGGAAGGCTGTGTGTGGCTTTATCAAGGGGAAGAGTTTGGAAAAGGGGTGGGGAAGGCGGAGGTGGCACACAATTCTCCGGGTTACTCAGCAGCTGCCTTACCTTGCCAGGGCTCTCTGCCTTGGAGCTTTTGTTAGCTCTTTGGCAAAGTGCCAGTCCAGCCCCAAGTACCTGGTCTGTTTTCCGTGGAATCCACATGGCATGTGGAAACCACAGGCTGGAAAATTACAACTGTGTCTGGCAAATATCAAATTATTTACAGATCAGATGTTGGTAGCTTCTGAACCTGAATGACACAGTGTAGTGGCAAGAGGGAAAAGGGTGAGAAATGCACAGGATTTTATCAACTGAGCTGTAAACTCATAGCTAAGTCAGGGTTTGAAACTATTATGCAATATTTGGGATGGGGGAGATCTCTAATTTTGTGAAATGATTATTCAGTTTCTGTGTGAATCAGGGCCCCTAAGACCCTTAGGTCCCATCAACTAAAAAGCAATTCTCTGTCTTCTTTCTTTCTCCTCATATTCATGCTTTTTAGTTTTTTTTAAGATTTTTTATTTATTCATTTGAGAGCGAGAGCACGGGGGGGGGTCAGAGGGAGAGGGAGAAGTAGACTCCCCACTGAGCAGGGAGCCCACCCAGGACTCTACCCCAGGACCCCAGGATCATGACCTGAGCTGAAGGCAGACACTCAACTGACTGAACCACCCAGGTGCCCCATCATGTTCATGCTCTTTAAGATGTCTTGTACTTTCTTTCTTTTTTTTTTTTAATTAATTAATTTATTTATTTGAGAGAGAGAGAGAATGAGAGCCAGAGAGCACGAGAGGGAAGAGGGTCAGAGGGAGAAGCAGACTCCCCGCTGAGCAGGGAGCCCGATGTGGCACTCGATTCCGGGACTCCAGGATCATAACCTGAGCCGAAGGCAGTTGCTTAACCAACTGAGCCACCCAGGCTGCCCAGATGTCTTGTTCTTTCTGACCAGATAAATTCTAAATGCCTATTGGCGAAAATATATAAGTACTGCAACCTAAAGAAAACAAGTTGTTCTTAAATGTCCTATTGGTGTTCTGGTACATGTCTTTCTTAATCTTTTGTACTGTTTCTAATTTTTTCACTATCATAAACAACACTTCTATGAACTTTGTGTATAAATCCTTATTGCTGGGGCGCCTGGGTGGCTCAGTCGTTAAGCGTCTGCCTTCGGCTCAGGTCATGATCCCAGGGTCCTGGGATGGAGCCCCGCATCGGGCTCCCTACTCCGCGGGGAAACCTGCTTCGCCCTCTCCCCCTCCCCCTGCTTGTGTTCCCTCTCTGGCTGTATCCCTCTGTCGAATAAATAAATAAAATATTTAAAAAAAATAAATCCTTATTGCGAGTTATTTCCTTAAGATACATCCTAGAGGGGCACCTGGGTGGCTCAGTCAAGCATCTGACTCTTGATCTCAGCTCAGGTCTTGATCTCAGGGTCTTGGTCTCCGGGTGGTAAGTTCAAGACCCGTGTTGGACTCCATGCTGGGTGTGGAGCCTACTTAAAAAAAAAAAAAAAAGATAAATCCTAGAAAGGAATTGCTAATTCAAAAAGCTTATGGCTGTTCTTAAGGATTTAAATTTATCTTGCCAAACCGCATCCTGGAAAGAATGCACTAATTTATACTCCCAGCAGCAGCGACTTCTTTTAGATCCCACCACGGATTACAAGAGATCAGAATTCTCTTTTTTTCGGATGCCTGTACTCTGTTGTTATATCGGTGGGGGGGGCGGACTGCTTTACTCGGCAGGGAGTCTGCTTCTCCCTCTGACCCTCCCCCCCTCATGTGCTCTCTCTCATTCCCTCTCTCTTTCAAATAAATAAATAAATAAATAAATAAAATCAATCTAAAAAAAAAGAGAGAGAGAGAAACATTCCCTGTATTTATCCAGACCTGCTATCAAGCCTGGGCCTCTGGATTGAGGCTAGAACAGGGAGGGGGACAGCCAGCTCTGGGCCCAGCCCCTGAGTGTTTGGGCTCCTGGTGTCTCGCCCCCCCACCCCCCAGCTGCGCTACTGCTTGGGGAGGCCGCGCGTGTGTCCGCCTGGCATCAAGATGCCTTGCATTTGGCTTAGGTCTGAGGCTGGGGGCTTGGCAAGCGGCTTGGATTCCAAGTCACTTCGCTGTGAGGATGCCACCGAGAGCGAGGAGGGGCAAGGTTAAGATTCGATTTCCCTCGCAAGGGCCTTTAGTGCTCCCGGGAGGCTTCCTTCTCTGGGAACCGAGCGGGAGGCAACTTTTTTGGTCAATTAGTCGGAGGAGAGGTGAGCGCGAACGCTCTCCGACATCCTCCCGCGGCCCCCGGGCCCAAGTGGGCCCACCCCACCCGGTCCTCCAGTGCCCGCCCCTGGGAGGCCTCCCCTCCCCCGAGGTGGGGAGGGTAGCGAGAACCGGGGGCCAACCGGCTCCTTCCTTCCGTCCCTCCCGCGCCGGCTCCCGCCCGCCGGCTCCGGCACCGCAGCCACGTCTGAAAGCGGCTCATTGTGTGCGCTCTTCCCCGGCCGGCGGCGCGCGGAGCAGCGGCTCGGGCAGCTCAGGGCTCGCGCGCAGGGGCGCGGGGGCGCGGGGGCGCGGGGGCGCGGCGCCGGGCCCGGGTGAGGCTCCGGGGCAGGAGTGCCCGAGTCTGTGTCTGGCTGTGGCCTCACGACTGCGCCCCACACACATACATCCCGTTCTTAAGACGCCTCTCCTTTTCCAGGACACTCCTGCCCCGTTTCCAGGTTCCCTCCGCCTTAGGTCTCCAGGTGCCTCCAACTATCTTGGGATCTGCTGATCTGCGCCCGTGCCTCTCAGAGCCTTCTCCCCGGTGTCACTGGGTGCCCCTTACTAGCAGCCTTGGGAGCCTACGGAGCACGTCAGCCCCTGCGGACTCTCCCAGCGAAGACACGGCTGGCTGCGGACTGGAACTTGGAAGAGGACACGTCGAGGAGCCTCTGCTGAGCCTCGGGAGAGTGGTGTCCGCCTCCCCGCCGCGCCAGCTCGGGCAGGGACGCCAGCTTTGGGGTACGTTCGTTGGTCCTCTCTCCGTACAGGATGCCCCCAGTCAGGGGCATGGAGCTTGTGGCCGGGGAGTTGGGTCTGGGGAGAAGGGCTGAGGGTGGTGGTTCTATCAGAACAGGGAAAGGACCTTGTAGCCGCCCAGGCGGTGGTTCGAAAGTGTCTTCCTGCGG